CCGCCGTCCGCCGTCCAGTCTCCGGGACCCCCACTGCTCCCTGCCCTCCATTCGCGTGGGCCCCGGGCCTCCTGTCGCCATTCGCCGGGCCCCGACTTTGGAAGCATTCCAGCCGCCGCTCAGGGAAGCCTCGCCGCGTGTGACAGACGCCCCCTTGTCCCCTGCTAGCCCTGAGGACGGCTCCGCCACCATCCTGGCCCCCTCGCCCCCAAAAAGTCACTCTGAGCCAGCCTCTTGGGTCCCATCTGACAGACGCGCCCATTTCACCCGGACACTTTGACAAAGTCCACGGTGGCCTCCGGCCGGTCTTATCCCTTTCCCGTAGGACTCACACAGAGCGGGGGACCTGGATCCCCTGCCCTATTAGATCCATTTCCTAGGCCGCTCAGACACACACAGCCCCTTCATCCTCCGAGCTCTAATCTCTAATCTCGGGTCTCGCAGGATCCTTTCTCTAAAAGATCGCCTTGTGCAGAACCTACCCTTGACGCTCCTTTCTCACGCACATCCCTCACCTCACACAGCTCCCTGCTTTGACAGTTTGTCCTGAAACTTCCCACAAAGTTCTGTGAGCCCTGATCGACCTGCCCTCAGTCCTATCCCTGCTGGTTCCCATTTGGGCTCCAGTTTACCATTAAAGGACCGGCTCCAACCTCCCAGGGTCTCAGCATACACAGCTCTAGGTGGTAAAGAGCCCACCTCTCCTCTGGTCTTCCCTCGCCTCCTCTGCCCACTCCCCAAGACTGACAGATCCTCCCTGCCCCCAAGCCAGGTTTTGTCCCAAGACCCGTGGAAGGGCATGTTGGCTCGGTGGACCCTGCTGCTGCCCTGCTGTCAGTGGGTGCTCTGGATGTCTGTGTATCACACTGGTGCTAGGGGTGATGGGTGGAACTCCAGCTTTTTGGGGGGACAAAAGGATGAGTTCGAAGCCCCCTCCTCAGTCTTCTGGACTGATTGGCCTGGCCTGAGCCCATCTCCCCAACCCCACAGGCCTGGGTTCTGAGGAAAACACAATGGTGGCCATGGACCTGGGCTCCCCCCTGCTCCCTAAGAAGAGCCTGCCTGTCCCTGGGCCTCTGGAGCAGGTGGCCAGTCGGCTGAGCAGCAAAGTGGCTGCAGAGGTTTCCCATGGCAGTAAGCAGGAGCTGCCAGACCTCAAGGGTGAGTGGCCCAGGCAGCAGGGGCAGGGGTGCCAGTCATGCTCACAGGGGTGCTCTTGGGCCCCGGGTGGTAGCGTGGGACCTCAAGTGACATGGAGGGCATCAAAAGAAACAGTGGGCGTGATAGTCAGGAGCTTGTGTACAAACCCAGTCATTCGCCGATTTGTCCTCCTTAGGTTAGTCTTGTGTGATACAACCCCCATCCATCTACCCGCCGATCCCAGAGCTGTTGTTTCGCAGTGACAGGCACCGCTCTAGACCTCAGGAATCTGAGGCAAATGGAATAGACCTGGTTTTGGCCCTTGGTGTTGCTAAAGTTGGGAGGGGAGCAGAGATGCAGACTGGCAGGCAGGGCAGGGACTCTGCAGAAGAGTACAGGGACCCCACCCCCCTGACCAGGGCCTCCAGCCCAGCAGCGAATCAGAATTGTGTGGAACTTGTTACCAGGACACCCATATCTTGGCTGGAAATCTGAAAGGAGTCCCTCTGGCCAGGCTCAGGGGGCACGTTCCTGCTCTGTGCCCTTGGGCACAATTGTCTCTGAGACTCAGTTTCCTCATTTGCAAACTGGACTGTTCCATCCAACCTCTGTAGTGTGATTGTAAGGATCAAAAGAACTTGACAGAAGTGAAATGCTTGCAGAATCCCCAGGGCGAGTGGGATGGGGGAGTGACTGTGGGTGTTTGGGCTCAAGTAGCCTCACTGCCTGTCCCCTGGGCTTCCATCTTGCCCTCCAGCCCAGAGCCTGACCACCTGTGAGGTGTGTGGCGCCTGTTTTGAGACGCGCAAAGGCCTGTCCAGCCACGCGCGCTCCCACCTGCGGCAGCTGGGGGTGGCTGAATCAGAGAGCAGCGGTGCCCCCATCGACCTCCTCTATGAGCTCGTCAAGCAGAAGGGTCTGCCCGACATGCCCCTCGGGCTGCCTCCAGGCCTGACCAAGAAGTCCAGCTCACCAAAGGAGGTGGTCACAGGAGTCCCAAGACCCGGCCTGCTCGCCCTGGCCAAGCCCCTGGATGCCCCTGCTGTCAACAAGGCCATCAAGTCACCTCCTGGCTTCTTGGCGAAAAGCCTGTCCCACTCTCCCAGCTCCCCGCTGCTCAAGAAAACACCACTGACCCTGGCGGGCTCGCCAGCCCTGAAGAACCCTGAGGACAAGAGCCCCCAGCTGTCCTTGAGCCCCCGACCAGCCTCCCCAAAGGCACAGTGGCCTCAGTCGGAGGATGAGGGGCCCCTGAACCTCAGTGAGTGTGGGCCCTGGGAGCCAAGGGGGGTCCTGGGAGCCAAGGGAGGTCCCAGCACCGGGATGGCCTCGGGTGGGGATAACAAGGGTAGCAGCTCCTGCATCCCAGGTCGCCCAGGCCAGAGGGGGCTGTCAGGATGGCTGTCTCTCCCTTCAGAGGACCCTCTGGCCCCCACCTTCCTTCACTGCTCTTCCTGAGGCCTGACCCCAGCTGCCAATCCTGCCAGGGGCACCTTTGCCACCTAGGGACAGCGCTCTTTTTCTGGGGCCCAGGTAGAGGCAGTGAAGGTAAATAGAGCTGCACCTTGGGTCCTGCAGGCAGACAGGTGGCCTTTGAAGCTGGTCCTGTCTTTATGTTTCTCTCATCTGCTCCTCATCTGACCATCTCATGATGGGAGCAGGTGTTTGCAGTTGGGTTGGAGTTGGAAACACACTGGTGGGCTCAGCAGACAGGCTTCAGAGAACAGCACAGTGGACAGGACTTAGGGAGGGTGTCCCTTAGGACATCAAGTCCTTCCAAAGATTGTGGATGTTAGAGTTGGGATGCCCCCAGGATCAAACCCCTTTGCCCAGTGGGTATTGTCTTGTCATCCTTTACCAAGTCTGCAGAGGTTCCAGGATCGGGTCCTTGGGCAGGTGTGCCCTTGGCTGTGAGACAGCCAGGAAGGCCCCTGCCATCTGCCCACACGGTTCCCATTGCTGGGACCCCTAGGGCTATCACTGTCTTTCCATCCCAAATCCAGTGCCCAAACTCCAGGCTAGGGAGAAACCAAGCCTTCCAGAGACTGGTAGTCCCTGTGCAGTGTGAATCTTGAACCCACCCCACCAGCCCCACCACCTGGTCAGCCAAATATGTCTACAGCCCTCCGTCCTCCAAGCCCAGGGCCGGCCCAGGTGGCGGCCGTGAACCCCCTGTGTTTTGTCTCCGCAGCTTTAGATAGTGACGGGGGCCGAGAGCTGGACTGCCAGCTGTGCGGTGCCTGGTTTGAGACCCGCAAGGGCCTGTCCAGCCACGCACGCGCCCACCTGCGCCACCTGGGCGTCAGCGACCCGGACGCCAAGGGATCCCCCATAGACGTGCTCCACGGGCTCATCAGGAGGGACGGCGTCCACCTCCGCCTCCCACTCGGGCGCGGCGCCCTGGGCCACCCTGGGCGGCCTCCCACCTCCACGGCCCTCTCCTTGCTCTCCCCCCCACCGCCGGCCAAGAGGGCCAAGCTGAAGGCCATGGGTGCGGCTGGCCCCTGGGGAAAGCAGGATCTCTCGGCCGCCGGCATTTTCTGGGCCTCTGATGTGGAGCCGGCTCCTCTCAACCTCTCTAGGTTCTCGCTTCAGCCGCCCCCCACTCCCTGTGGGCCCTGGAGCCCCTCCCGGGGGGGCATGGCCCCCTTCTGGTGGGGACAGGAAGGAGACGGGGCCTTGGACAGAGGTCCAGTGCTGCCCAGAGATCTTGTTGGGCTACTGGACCTTTGCTCTTGGCCTTTGACCTCCAGGACCCTGATCCTCCCTGAGAATGAGGGCCAAGGGGCGGGTCTTGCTTTTTGATGTGGATCATGCCCATGGTCACCCCGATTTGGAAGGCCTGTGGCACCAAGAGGCCCCTAGCATCCTCCTTCCTGTCCTTGATGGCACGTGTCCACAGAGCTTCGGGGTCTCGATGCTGCCCTTTCCCTACTCCTCAGCCCCCTGCTCACATCTGCCCTCCACCACCACCCCATGTGTGGGCAGGCTGCTGCCCAAGCCCAGCTGGCCTGGACGCCGCAGTGCCGCCCCAGGCTGCCTTTCCCTTTGCTGACCGTCCCTCTGTCCTCCCTTCCTCCCACTGCAGCTTCAGGCCCCGAGCCGACCCGGGATATCCGCTGTGAGTTCTGCGGTGAGTTCTTCGAGAATCGCAAGGGCCTGTCCAGCCACGCACGCTCCCACCTGCGGCAGATGGGTGTGACCGAGTGGTATGTCAATGGCTCACCTATTGACACACTACGAGAGATCCTCAAGAGACAGCAGGCCCACTCCCGACCTGGTGGACCCCTGAACCCGCCGGGACCCAGCCCTAAGACCCTGGCCAAGATAGTGGGCGGTCCAGGGAGCTCACTGGAAGGCCGCAGCCCTGCCGATCTGCTGTCACCCCTGGCCAAGAAATTGCCAGCAGCACCAGGCAGCCCCCTAGGCCACTCACCAACAGCTTCTCCAGCCCCCACGGCCCGGAAGATGTTTGCAGGCCTGGCTGCTCCCTCCCTGTCGAAGAAGTTGAAGCCTGAACAGATGCGGGTGGAGATCAAGCGGGAGATGCTGCCGGGGGCCCTTCACGGGGAGTCGCACCTGTCTGAAGGGCCCTGGGTGGCGTCTCGGGAAGACCTGACCCCCCTGAACTTGTGTAAGTGACCCTGGGACCGGGTCGGGACCACAGCAGAGGGGCCTCCTCTCCTCTCCCCTGTAGGGTACACTGAGCACTCAGAGGTAAAGTGGAGTGAAAGAGACACCAACCAAGAAGATGAGGGTTAGCAGTGCAGTTTTGCTACTCAGTTCCCCCCCCCCCCCCCGGCTTGGGGCCAAATTATGTACTGTGGGGCTAGCAAAAAGTTTCTGTGCCATCTTCAATTGATTGATAGTGTCTGCCAACCAAATTCAGAGGCAAAAGGATTATAGGGATCAATTCATGATGTCTGCCATGGATAGAAGTGGATATGCCCAATATTTATATTTTTCTATTTTAGATAGTTCTGGTGGCATAGCCAATGGGGAGTTATGCTGCTAACTCAAAAGCTGAGCCTCTGATGGTTCAAATCCAGCACTGGCTCCGAGGGAGAAAGATAGGCATCTTTCCCGTGTGATTTACAGCATTAGAAGCCCATTGGAGGGTCAGCTATTAGTCAGTTCCGACTTGACAGCAACTTAAGGATTTTTTTTTTTTTTTTGCTGTTTTGGTCATTCCTAGCAATTGGATGGAAGACTGAGTGGCACACCAGTTAATGCACTCAACCACTAACCAAAAGATTACAGGTTCTAATTCACCCAGAGGTGCCTTGGAAGAAAGGCCCGGTGATCTGCCAGAAGGGTCACAGGCTGTGAATCCTAAGACGCACAGTTGTACTCTGAAACACATGGAGTGACCATGAGTTAGGGTCAACTTGATAGTAATTTAAAAAAAAAGAAGGAAGGATGGATGGATGGATGGATGGATGGATAGATCTCCTTGAAAATTGGAGTCAGACATAAATCTAGCCTCAATAAATCTAGTCTCAGTTCCTTCACAACTAAGTAATAAGTGGCCTTTACAGGTTTTCTTGTCCGAGAAAGCAGCGCACATGGTCAGCGTAATACCACCCCCCTAGGGTTTCCAGAGGCTTGCGTGGGGTCAGGCACTCCACCAGAGCCTGGTGAGGGACAGCGCTCCACGGGCAGTGGTTGTGATGTCACCTTCGATAGCTTCCCCTCTCCTTCCAGCACCCTGGAGATGACACAACACACGTCTGCTCTGCCACATGCCTGAGGCTATCCCCAGGAGCACAACGGGTGGGAATTTCTGTCTCTCTTCTTCAAAAGAGGAAACTGAGGGTCCGAGGAGAGTTAGTGTTAGGGAAGGGAAATTGACTCAGTGAGGAAACTGAGTTAGAGAAAGGCTATGGAGGCTCAGGAGGGAAAAGGTCTCACCCAGTATCACACCAGGTCAGCAGCAGTGCTGGCATTTGACCCCAGACTAGGCAGCACTTTCTCGGCACCCTTCAGGGGCCCTGGGGACACAGTGAAGCCTGCTAGGATTTGTGCTGAGGAGAACAAGCAGCAGAACTGGGTGTAGACCCAGGGGTCTGGGGAGCAGAGTCATTGGGTCAAGCTCAGAGGCTTCTCGCCTGCAGTTGCCACCTTCTCGTCCTCCCCCTTCCCGGACCCTCTGCAGCGTCCCGAGCTGAGCCAACCCGTGACATCCGCTGTGAGTTCTGTGGCGAATTCTTCGAGAACCGCAAGGGCCTCTCCAG